AATTTTCCTCCATCATGAATTTCACCTGCAAGAATCAGTTCGGAGTAGGCAGGAAAAACAGCTACAAGAGTACAAGCCCTGACCTCCATATGCCGACTGTTAACGAACAAATACGAACTCATTACAAAAGATTCCAGGACAACTTACAAGGACATCCTAATACACCTATAAATGACATGGCAACTACGGATATGCCAGGTAACGTCTGTAGGAGACTGGAGAGGAGCTGGATGAGGGACCTCCTCGCCTAATGTAGATATCACGCCGAGTGAGGTGCCGCTGGGCACTGATCCTCCTCATGCCTTTCATGACATTATATTTAGCAATCGATCTCACATTCACTGGTTGTCATTACCATTATGACAGGTGTGAATAAAAAATTAAAGCTAATAAAAAAAGGAGTACAAGCCTTAGCAGCTCACGGCGCACAGTTATATATACATTTTTTTAACCTTAAAAACTAGATAAACTGTTTTGTTGAAACCTTCTGGAATTCATGAGAATAGTTTTAGTTGGCAGAATATTCATTTTTCACTGTTTTTATTGAATAGTTCAATTAAAAAAAAAATTGATTTAACCATTGTTGCAAATTTTCCCTTAATTGTCCCACTGTGCGGCGGCCCCAAAACTCATTACTTCAACTTTTGCTCTTACATTCTATTCTTTGTTTCACAAAATCTCGCCGTGCTCCGAAGGCCGAGCGCAAGTTGACCCACAGCGTGGCGAGGTGACGCGAATGACAAACCGTAACATTAATAAAAGTAGTCAGGATAATAATTTTTTTTTTTATTATAACAGATAATATTCACTCTATATTTCTCTTCTCTTTTCTTTAAATTGCTGCTTTTTGGAACTTCTTCAGAATTTTCGTCCTGCGTCCAGCGGGAGAGGCTCCCCTCGCAGAATTCTCTAGTACTGGTCAAAAAAATAATTTTTTTTTTACATTACATTAGAAAATTCATCTAAAATGATGATTTTTTTCTATATGTCTCTTTTGTTTAAATAGCTGTTTTTTTGTATATTTTTAAGATTATTTTCCACCAGCCGGGGGGACGGAGGACGCGCCCGTGGCAGAATTTGTACACGAGGATGAATTTTCTCTATATTTTTCTTTTCTTTAAATAATTGCTTTTTGGGATTTTTCCAAGATTATTTTCCACCATCCGGAGGGGTAGGGGGCGCGCCTCATGGTAGAAATCACTAGTGCTGTTCACAATAATGATTTATGAAAAATCATATTAGAAAATTATGACGTCTTAGAGGATAATTCTTTCAATAACTGTTTTTTAAAACTTTTTTGGAATATTTTTCCACCTCTCATGGGGGAGGGGACTTCCCCCGGCTGGATCTGCTAGTGGTATGCACTGGATTTGTTTTTTAAATTATAAATTATTAAATATGCAATCTTCAAATGCGGAACTTTTTCGCATTTTAGTGTTTGCTAATAAACAAAACTCGTGGATATCAATCTCATATATGTTGTGAGATTACTGAATTTCCGAAAACGGCATCTTATAGAAATTTTATTCTCATAAATTTTTAGACCTTATAATATGGATATTTTTTAGCAAATGAAAACGGCGAGGAAGCTATACTGACCTTACTTGGCAGAAGTTTTTTTTTTTACAGTGTGAATGAATTTTGTTTACCTAATATTGTTTTTGTTTTGCTTAATTAGTAACCGTGGAGGGACTGGCTCTAACCCTAAACAATGTTTGATCGACGAAAGCCATATTTCTTTTAAAAATTTCCTTTATAATCTCCTTTTTTCTCGAAATTCACTCAAAATTTTACACAAAAAGCGTTCCATAATTAAGAATTTAACAGGCAATTAGTATTAAAAAGTTAAAAGAACAGCTGATGACTGATTTCAATGTTATTTTAACATAAGCAACAAGAAAAAAAAATGTATCTAAAAAGTTAAAGTGTAAAAGATTTAAAAAGATTTAAAATTATTTATATATTTTAATTTTTTTTATTTTTTTGACCGCACCCTCGACTAATTCCTTCTCATGTAAAAGATTTAATGTGATCTAAATCAATAGAAACAAATATAACTACAAAACTATAGAATTTTATATTTTAATACTAAGCAGAGAATAAATTTATGTTTTATATTTTTCAATTAAGACTCAAATAACGTAAAATGTTGACAAACTTTATATATTAACGATTTTTCAATCCACAATCATTAATATAATCGATAATATAAACAATGTCATATAATTTATTATTACATGTACGAAACATTAAAAAAACATATTGAAAAGAAAATATGGAGGTGTAAGTTGCTTTATCACAATAATCCTAACAATAATAATAAATTGTAGAAACTCAAAATGAAATAATATTCGATATCAATAATTAAAGAATGTTTTTAGAAGTAGTAATGTTTAAATTGATATTGGTTTTCAATTAATTTGTTGTTTATGAAATTAGTATGAACATCAAAAAATTTGTTTATTGTTTATTGTTCTTTCACTTTATTGTTTAAGATCACGAGCTCTAGAATATGGTACGCGTAGAAATATATGCACCTTATAGGGTTACTGTAATATGGAAAACAAGAAGCTCTAGAAAGAATCGCGGAAAGGTAATAATTATCAAATAATGTGCATTTGAAGATATATAAGACTAATTGACAATTAATGCTTATAATTATTTTCCTGAGTCTCGATAATTTATTATTGGTTATTAAAATCATTAAAACAAAGATAAAATTAGATTATAATATGTTTTTAAACGCTTGGAAATGTTAATAAAACTAATTCAATCTTAAATGGGTATTATGTCTATTGGAAATAGCGATTTTATAATGTTTGAAGCAATTTTTACTGAAAGTATAATTCTATTAATTTTGTCTCTTTAATATTTCCGTAACCATTTATTTTATAAAGGAAATATATTAAACAATTTTTATTGATATTTTGAAGTACTTTAATTTTGTATAGAATGATATTTGCGTCCAATCCCATAGTTGATGAAATATTCACAAAGAAATGAGAAACAAAATCAGATATTGTCCTTTTTTCTCTTCCCGTCATAAAAACTCGACCCGGGAATCTTCGGAAATTTTTACAAGCTATTACGAGAAGGATCTTGAACAACTATCTTTTTTTTCCCGGCTACTTAGTAAAGTTACTGTAATAAATACGTAGATAAATATTTCTTCGAAAACGCCCCAATATTTTTGTAGGCCACTATAACCATTGGATTCGTCTTTATTAACCATTATTGTGAAAATCAGCCGGATGTTCATACATTTTCACTACGTCGTTCTGACGACATGTTGGGGTTGTAAGTCACGCGAAACGCCCCAATTCCGAGAATTTTTGTAGGTTACGAAAAAATGAAGCCACTCACGAAGTTTTAGGCGGTTTCATTAATAATTTCATGAAAAGGGGCATGTATCACGGACTAATAGATATTGTTTTGAAATCAACTTTTTCCTGATTGACCCTACGGTAAAAGAGTCGCTGTCATTTACCTTTCTTAGTTCTTTGATTTTTCCAGTTTTCTTCTTTTCTAGGTTTTCTTCTTTTTCCTATGAAGATTCTTTGCCGCTTGTCGCAAAGTTTAGTATTTATGATTGTATAAATATCTTTCAAGTTTTATAATTTAAGGTGCCAACATGTTAAAAATGTGTGTAATATTATGTTTCCCGCCAGAAATAATATTCTTTTGATTTGATACCACCTGGAACGGGCTTTGAAATATTGAAGGAGGCCAAAGGTTATTGTAACATGATAACAATGCTCAACGTATAGGAGGGGAGATGGGGATAGAACGGCCTACAATAAAAGAGTAGTTCTGTAATAGTAGGAGCGAAGAGGCCGAGAGACCTAACGGGCTTGTGTAAATCACCGTGTTCCCCGGTAACTTGATAGTGATTATTTGATAAAATAATTACGAGTTTGCCTCACGGTGCCGGAGGGGCTTTTAACTGTGGCATTAATCCTCCGCCCTTACAACTTGGCACGGGAAAACCTTGTATGCCCAAAAGGCAAGGAAGGGAAGGGAAAAAAAAATCTGTAATCAGGTCGTTACCTGTAGTATGTTATTATCACCTTTGCGGTATGTTAAAATAAATAAAGCTAAATATTGCAATGATCGTACCTCCTCCCTCCTCCGGAAAATGTTGGTGAGGAGAGGAAAGAAAATTCCTTGCTGCTCCAGTTGCAGGCTCCTTGTAATCAGAAGTGCTCAGAAAGTAATTTTAGGGCGCGAGGTGCGACATCAAAATTTTTTAGAAGGTCACATTTTGACGGGTTTTGGATTTTTGGAATGTAAAGATTTAAACCAAAAGACGAGAGTAAGTATAGAACAAACTGCAGGAACTTTGATTGTACATATTCAACGATTTTTCTAATTCTCCTTTTGTTTGCATTGTTTTTAAGAAAAGGTGAGCAATAAAATATCTTTGGGGGATGGAGAGATGCATCATTGACCTTGGGGAGAGGGAGGGGGAGAACGGGCACCTTAGCTAGTACTACTAAAATAGGGGTGTCAAGTGTATAGATATACACACGGAAGTATAGAGAGATTATCCTTCCGTCATGAACCTTCTGGACTTCCTAACGAATACAAGGACGGACAGATATTCAGTTAAGGAAGGCTTTTGATTCTGGATTTTATTTTTTCTCAGAATACTGAACCTTTGTCTTAATATAATATATAATGTAGAATAGTCTAAGATGCTTGGAGGTCTTTCTTCGACCACTAAAATAATCCTCGCAGCTCTTAGTCTCTATAAATCTAATTGACTCATTTATTGTCAATATTCCTCCCTTTTTCGTTTTGTAAATATGATTATGCATATAAAATATGCTGCATCCGCAAATTTTTCATCAATTCAATCTGTCATTATACCTAATGGGAGACTGATGAGTGATTGGAGCAGTAAGCAGCTATACCACATGATTTGCAATCTGTCTTTATTTGTAAAGGAATTAGTCATTCTGCTCTCTCTGTTGAATATCTTAGGACAGAAAAAAATTTTCCTGGAAAATTTCTTTATTTACAGAACCAAATATCAACTATTCTGGGCAAGTTGGAATTAATTTCTCACTCTGGTTCCTGTAGAATTCTAACCTGTTGGATGCGAGAAATAGCTTAGACAGAGTAAAGAGAAAACAAATTAAAACAGTAGAACCCTTTGGACATACATTAGTAGAGTAAAAGAAGTTCCCAATAACAATCTTTGCTTAATAAATAAATTGCTTAATAAAGTCATATCCAATCGCGTTCTGGTATGACGCTGAACCTATATATGGTGGGATTATAGTGTTGAAGTTCTGAAAATTCACTCTACAATTCAATCTACTTCTTGAGTTTCACCAATAATTTTTTGTTAAGCGTACTTTATTATTAAGTTCAGTTTCCTTTTTAAAAAACGATTTTTATTTATTTTGAAATTAATTTTGACAAGGAGTGAAAACTTGAATATGGTGTATAAGAAATGAAAAAAAACTATACAGCCAATATTATACTTATACCAATAATTAGTTATAGTAATTTAATTTAGCTATGGAAATTTATCTAACATTTAAAAGAAATCAATATAGGCAACATTTTATTTGTTTGACATAAAGGTAGCACATTTTTTTCCCACAATTACTTAATCAATGAATTTATCGATACTGTTGATATTTTAAGATAGGAGAGATTTATCATTAACCTAATGATAAATTCTTTCTGATAAATCATGGATCATTGAAAACCACCGTAAATCATCATCAAATCTTACTTTGGTTAATCTTGTAGAGAAAATTCATATACATCATCCATACTTCAAGATGGCCAAACAGCATGTTATTTGCGTTCGGATCGCCTCCTGGGGGGTATGTATTAGGATCCTTAATTCTTTTATGACATTCATTATAAAATGGCCAATATTTTTCGCCCTGGTTATATAAGTCATCGATTGGCGACTCTACATCTGGATCATAACATGTAGGTAATTTTCTCTTTTTCCCTTGCTTTTTTCTGTTGCATTTTTCAGTGTCAATGAAGAATTGAATTCCATTTGAGTTCATTGGGGAACCTAGTATATTCATTGCATCTGCATTAGCATCTAAACTTCTGTTAAATTGCTGTGAATCACTAATTTTATCGAACTGAGAGTTGGAACAATTACCAATATTGGATGACCAGTATGCTAATAAACCCAAATTATTAAAGGAATAAATATGGTTTCCTATCTTTTCAAACATTATATATGATTCGCTAGTTCCGTCCAAATTTGAAATGTTGTCATTGAATGATTGGCTATTGGAAGGTTGTTTATTGAATTGTATTAAGTTGTCATCACGTTCTAATTCTTCAAGAGATTTTTCATTCTTAAAGCTATGGATTCGAAATTCATTACAGTCAATGTCCCAACAAGATGAAATTAGAGCAAAGTTACATTTCTTAACGACTTTTCTTTTCAAAGCTTCTATAAGTGGAATGCAGCAACTTTTATCAGGTACATTAAGGAATGAAATTGTTTTTGAATAAGGAATAGGTTGATTCATTTCAGTAATTTTCTTATGAGATTCGTCATAAGTTTTCCAGAAACGATACTTAGCATTCCACATTTTATCTTCTGGTAATTTCATGCCGAAATCTGCACGCGGTGAAATTTTACTGACTTTAGCTTCTTTTGAGTTGATATATTTCCAAGTACTCCGGTCATTCGAGGCATTTCTAAAATAAGAATCCAATTTTAAAAGTATTTTAAATATTCGGTTGTTGAACTCAAAACTTTTCTTTCTGAATTCATTTATTATAGGTAAGGTATAACTATTGATGCCGCTTACAGTTTTATTTTTAATATGAACTATTTCATTACTCAAATCATTTCCGTTATTTACTTTATCAAGAAAGAAATACTTAAATAATGTTTGAAAAGAAGTAGGACTTAGCAGGAAACAAATATCTCCATGTTCAACAGGTTTAGGTTCAAGTCGATCGAATATAGAATGGTTAGTATTTCCTTCATTTTGTTGTTGCAATCTAAAGCTTAATAAAAACTGTTTTGAATTTTCATTTTCCGTTTTCAGAGTTTTTTTATGATATTTACAACTTGTTATATCTCGATCGAAGTCATATCCCATCAAAGAACGTAGAGAATCAATTCTTTTTCGGAAGTTAAATTTCTGTGATGCTATATTTTTTTTGCAATGAGACATGTGATCAATACAGTTAGTTAGTTCTCCTCTAGCTCGGTCAATTAGCTTTAACAAAAAACGAGGTAATGGCGCTGGCATTATTGGCCCTTTCTTTATTCTAGCTTTATTCCTTTCTGTTCGGATGAAATTTTCTTTCATTATTTTATTGTTGACTATTCTCCATTGTTTACTTTCACTCTTATCAATTATTTCACTATTACGATTCAACTGCTTCAATCCGCGTACTGTAAGTTTAGAATAAGAGGGAAATAAACTACGAAATTTTCCACTATTGGAAGTTAATAAAGTAGTTATTGCATATTGTTTTCTAAGTGGATTAGAACTTCTATTGTCTAGCAGGAATGATTCTAAAAAAATTCCCTTAACTATTTTGGCACATGGATCATTTTTCCTTCTTCCACCCTTTGCGCACGGATCTGCTTTTTTTGCTTTTATATTCTTACATGGATCATCTTTCTTTCCACCGCCCTTTGCGCACGGATCAGCTTTTTTTGCTTTTATATTCTTACATGGATCATCATTCTTTCCTCCGCCCTTTGCGCAAGGATCTGCTTTTTTGGCTTTTATGTTTTTACATGGATCATCTTTCTTTCCTCCACCCTTTGAGCAAGGATCTGCTTTTTTTGCTTTTATATTCTTACATGGATCATCTTTCTTTCCACCACCCTTTGCGCAAGGATCTGCTTTTTTTGCTTTTATATTCTTACATGGATCATCTTTCTTTCCCCCGCCCTTTGCGCAAGGATCTGCTTTTTTAGCTTTTATGTTTTTACATGGATCATCTTTCTTTCCTCCACCCTTTGAGCAAGGATCTGCTTTTTTTGCTTTTATATTCTTACATGGATCATCTTTCTTTCCACCGCCCTTTGCGCAAGGATCTGCTTTTTTTGCTTTTATATTCTTACATGGATCATCTTTCTTTCCCCCACCCTTTGCGCAAGGATCTGCTTTTTTAGCTTTTATGTTTTTACATGGATCATCTTTCTTTCCTCCACCCTTTGAGCAAGGATCTGCTTTTTTTGCTTTTATATTCTTACAGGGATCATCATTCTTTCCTCCGCCCTTTGCGCAAGGATCTGCTTTTTTGGCTTTTATGTTTTTACATGGATCATTTTTCTTTCCTCCGCCCATTGAGCAAGGATCTGCTTTTTTTGCTTTTATATTTTTACATGGATCAAATTTCTTTCCTCCGCCCTTTGCGCAAGGATCTGATTTTTTCGCTTTTATATTTTTACATGGATCTTCTTTGTTTCCACCGCCCTTTGCGCAAGGATCTGCTTTTTTTGCTTTTATATTTTTACAAGGATCATCTTTCTTTCCTCCGCCCTTTGCGCAAGGATCTGATTTTTTCGCTTTTATATTTTTACACGGATCTTCATTCTTCTTACAAGGATCTTCTTTCTTTGCGGAATGAGCTGCTATTTTTTCTTTTAAACTTTTACATGGATCATCTTTTTTTTCCGCGTATTTTGCGCAAGGATCCGCATTTTTACAAGGATCTTCATACTTTTTGCAGGGATCTATTTTTTCTTTACAAGGATCTTTTGTCTTTTTTCCAGGATCTGCTTTCTTGGCCTTTATCTCTGCACACGGGTCCTCTTTCTTCTTGCAAGGATCTACTTTCTTCTCAGCTATTGCTTTGCAAGGATCTTCATTTTTTGCTTCTTTGTTATCTTTTTTTTTCTTTGGATCTAGACACGTTTTTTTGGTTTTTGAACACTTTTTCTTAGTTTTCTTTTTAGCACATTTAGGTTTTGGAATTTTTTTTTTTTTTTTAGTTTCACCACACGTGGAAGCATTTCCTTTTTTTTTTTTCCATAGTTGACCGACAATGTCTTTAAATGAAAAACTCCAGTATACCTTGGGGACTACATGGTGGTTATTTTGCAAAAAGTTTTGAGGATCAATAGGCTTAGTCAAAAATAAATTTTCACGCAGTATAGTATTCCAAACAATTCCATTACCTACTATTTGCCTGTTATTGTTAATAAATGTGTGGACCCATTTTTCTCTCATTTCTTCATTTTCATTGATATTTGCAGTAATTGTCTGTAATATAAAATGTTATTAATATTAAAAAATATTTGGTGATTAAGATGATTGATATATATATATATTATAAGTAAATTCTTTCAGTTTGAGATAAACTAGTTTAAAATATTGTTGAAAATGGATGATTCGTTAATGATGAGCAGCGTTGGAAGATGATAATGATAACCAGAGACCGAATTTTCGTGAGTAAAAAACTTCATACTTACTTAATATAAGAAAAAAAGATCACTATAAATAATAATTTTAGTTAACATAAAATCAAATGAAATACTGTGCTTACACTTCTATGACTGTTTTTTTTTTTTTTTTTTTTTTTTTGTTCTTCCCTACCTCGCCATTTAGGCAATACGGGATTTCCCCGTGCCAGAGGGTGAGGGCGGGGAATTTAAAATCCCCTCCGGCACCGGGACGCCGAACTCGTACTTATTTTGGTCTCTCAAAACTTCATAAATCTGGTTGCCGGGCACACGCTTTAGCTCATTCGGCCACCCCGCCCTCTCTCTTCTATGACTGTAACCATCAATCTCTGGTGACGCAACGCGTCACCAGAAATTGACCGGAGGGCAACCAGTCTCTCAGGCACTAAAGTACACTCGATCCCGAAAAGCGGAACGAGTTGGTTAATTCCAAGGAGAGCTTTTTGCCTTAGAAATTCTTAATTTTTAGTGTACTTCTATTTTTTCTGCGTTTTTTTTCTCTTATTAGGCATATTTTTTATACTAACCTGACCTTATTTTAAATCTTAAATTAGCTTAAGGAACTGTTTATTATTATTATCTTCCTAGATTTGCACAGTGATAACAGCTAATGGGTCTTCGATAACTTTAAATCTTAGAACTTATTCATGTTATTAATAATAATAAAGGATACTTTTTTAAAAAAATATTTAATAGTTGACTGTTGCATTATAAAGGAAGGAAATGGTCCGGGGTGGCGGTCATAAATAGGCTAAATAGTGGCTAAATTATTTTATTAAATGCCTAAAAAGGTTTAAAAAGGCTTTTAATAAAATACTTTTGCCATTATTTAGCCTATTTATGACCGCCACCCCGGACCATCTCCTTCCTTTATAATTTTTTTTTCTTAACTAGTTAGTATACTTTAGCAGTAATAACCCATATATAAAATAACCTAATTTTTGTCAATTGTATCATAACCGTCCTCAAAATGAAGTGCGAAATACTTCAAGTTAAAATGTTTTTCAAGTTCTATTATGAAGTATTCTCTAAATAACTTAAAATAAAATATAATACAAATTAAAAGAATCAATATTGATAAAAAAAAAAAGAAAAAAAAAAAATTCGTTATTCAATTATGGTTGAATTATGTTTGCCTGGCGGTTATGACATTGGACAATTTCTCTTTTAGGGTATGGTTTTTAGATTTTTGCGTCAACGAAAAATAAGAAAAGTTGGATTTTATTTGTTAGTTTCTGACTGTGCTTTAGTTTATTTCAAAACATTCCTTGCATATTGAACCCTGACGCCGTTAGCTCTTCTTTAATCACTTCAATTGGGGTTGAGGAGTGAAAGTTTCTTATCACTTCTCTTGGTGCTCTCTCATGTCTAAGCTGGTCCGTAAGAAAATCCGTATTTGTTTCTGGAAAATATTTCACTATTTTTCGATAAATATCAGGTCTGTCCGGTTTTATTTTTGTGTCATTGGTCCTGTTAAGACTTGAAGAACTATCTGATCAGATTTTATTTAATTGGATACACAACAACTGAAAATGTCTTATATTTTTGGCAAATATTGGAGGAGGTCCTTTGGGTATCGGTACAGACTGCATCTCATTTCCATCATTTTGAAGCAGCTGGTACAGTAAGGTGGAAAGAAAGGAGATACTGAGGCCATTTTTTGCTAACATGTAATGGGTTGAATTGCAGATTCTTCAGTGCTCACGGTCGGGGGAGGCGATCCATGGGGGTGTTACTCGTTCACTGCGACGAGATTTTTGATTATCTGGTGAATCATGAGGAGTAGAGACAGCTGGCCAGAACCTATTAGTAGACCTAAATAATAATAATATAATAATAATAATAATAATAAAAGGTTTAGCGAACTCGAAGGTTCGATGCTGACACCACCAATCGCTTATTACACACCTCCCTCCACCGTTCGCCGTCCAAACCCAGTCCCTTCAGATCGGCTTTAATGGAATCTTCCCACCTTCGCTTCGGTCTACCCCTCGGACGCTTACCATTCGGCACAGCAAATATTAACCTTTTAGGAATTCTCTCGTTACTAAGCCCAACAACTTTACAAGCCCATTTGATTCGCCGCGATGAAATTACTCAATTATATTACCCGGATACAGTCTCACGCAATTCGGCGTTGTGTAACCGTCTGAACTCTCCGGTTAACTCATCCTTCTTCGGTCCGAATATTCTACGCAATACTTTATTTTCAAAAACCTTAAGACGCTGCTCATCCTTTAATGTAAGCGGCCAAGTTTCGCATCCATAAAGAACTGTAGGCAATATAATTGCTAGGGAAATATAATTGCTGGAAATATAATTGAAATATAATTGCTGGCAATATAATTGTTTTATAGATTCTAATTTTTAAGTTTCGGGACAAGAGGCGCGAACTAAGTAGTTTTGTCACAGAAAAATAACAAGCATTTCCCGCCTTCAGTCTAACCTTAATCTCTTCTTCAATTTCGTTTTTTCTAGTTATCGTAGAACCTAGATACCTAAATTTATCTACCTGTTCAAACATATTACCATCTATATCGATATCACCAGTAGTATCGCCATTTTTGCAGCTAACCATATATTTTGTTTTATCCACGTTTATTTCGAGTCCTAGTTCTTTAACGGCTTTCATTAACGTTGTCGTATTTAGTTTTATAGTTTCAACTTCTTCGCTTAACAGTACCAAGTCATCAGCATAGCCCAGCACGGATGTTGTCCCACCCAGATTCCAACCCTTTCTCGGTACGCATTACCTCCCTAATGGCATGTTCTAATGCCAAATTGAACAGGACAGGCGAAAGGGAATCCCCCTGTCTTAAACCCGAACGAACCTAAAATTTTGCGCACAGATTATTACCGATTCTAACTTTAATGAGTGTCTCCGTCAAGCACATCCTGACTAGATTCACTAGTTTGTTTGGAATCCCTTGCTCGATTATAATATTATAAGTTTCTGGCGGTCAATAGAATCGTAAGCCTTTTTAAAATCTATATACAGCTGGTGAACAATACCGCTGTTCTCCATTTTTTTCTCTAATATTTGCCGTAAAGAAAATATTTGATCAATAGTCGAACGATTCCGTCTAAATCCGCATTGGTAGTCTCCAATAATTTTCTCGGCGTATTCCGTGATTCGACTGGTTAAGATTAAAGTGAATATTTTATAACATACCGGAAGGAGTGAAATTCCTCGATAGTTATTACAATCCGTCCTCGGACCCTTTTTGTGAATCGGAATAAGAATAGATTCTTTCCATTCTTCAGGTAATTTCTCATTCACCCAGATCTTTTTAACCAACCGATGAATTTTAGTTGGAATAATTGGAGTTTCTTTAATTAGTTAATTAATGAATTAATTTGTTCAGTAGAAATATTATCGGTTCCCGCTGCTTTACAAGATTTTAATTTTCCGATAGCTACTTTAACTTCCTCTGTACTTGATCCTTTTATTAACGGTTCAGCACTCCGGTACTCAGAAGGAGGACGCAGATCATAATTTCCCGTATTTAAAATATTGTCAAAGTGGTCCTTAAACTTATTCAATATATCCACCGGATCGGTCAGAATATTGTTATTATCATCCCTAATTCCAGGCGTTACGGGCCCTACACATTTACGTGATCTGTTTATACCTTTGTACATGTCTCTTACGTTATTTTCGATTCTATTAGTTTCTATTTCAATTATTTTATTTTTAAGATACTCCCTTTTTTTGTTTTTGAGCAATTTTGTCATTTCGTTCTTTGAGGTTCGGAAGTATTCCAGATTGTCTTCGCTAGGTTTATTTAGAGCTTTTAATTTAGCGGCTTTTCTTTTTTCGCACACGTTCAAGCAATCTTCATCAAACCACGGTTAGTTATTCTTATTTTCCTTTTTTCCTAGACACGAGTTACCGACCGCTTTAATATTATCCCTGATCTCTATCCATAACTTGTCAATATCCTCGTGGTCTTCGTCAGGAAGCTCTAAAGCTTCAAATCTATTCTTAACATCTAGCTCGAATTGGGTTCTAATTGACGGATTTTTTAATTTTTCCAAATTAAAATTCTCAAAATCGAAACGTTTTTCTTTTCTCTTTTTATATTAAGTTTTTGTCAAAGTTTCGCGATTACTAATTCATGATCCGACCCACATTCTGCTCCACGATAAGACCGTACATTAATTATACTGCTTTGCCAGCTATGTTGTATCAAGACATGATCGATTTGGTTTCGTGTTTGCGAATCCGGTGATGACCAAGTATATTTATGAATATCCCTGTTGGGACCAGGGGTACCTCAAATTCGAAGTACAGATCTTTCCCCGGTGCGTTTGATCAATGGTGGGGAAAATTCGAGCAAAATTGAAAATGAAAGAGGAAAAAAAAGAAGAATAAAAATGAGACCTGTAAAACATTAAAGAAAAAAAACAAATGCATGCACATGAAAATGATATTAAATAGAAACATTCAATAAATCGAATAGTGGAAAAATGAAAATGCCCTTCTGAATGTTCACACAGTTATATTAAATTAAAAAAAAAAGAGATACAAAATATAATGCTCAGTGAACATAAACCCAAGTTAACAATTATTAATATAGCAAAAGAAATCAATTTCTAAAATCATAAATAAAAAAAGAGAGAAAAATGATTGTTCAAAAGAATAAAACAAATTTAGCAAAGAAAACAGTTAACTAAATATTTAAATGTCTTGCCGATGGTGAGAATACAAAACAAACAACCAAGTTGGAAGTTCTGCTTCCAACCCGTCACCTTCCGATATCCAGCTGAGGAGTAATGGATGGTGGGGTGGTATCGATC